TACAGGCTGTTAAGGTGTGTCAATATAGACTTCAAGAAAACACTCCAATTTACAGATTTAATAAATTATTACAGAAGAGACCCAACCCTGTTACAGACAGATAATAATTTACCTTTCTGGACTAATACTTTTTAATATTAAAAAAATTCAAATTTGTCTTATTCAACCAGTTCCATCAAGCAATTTCTAGTATACTTTCTAATAATGGATAATAACTTCTTTACAGGTGTGTAACTTACAATAGTTTCTAGAGCAGGGGTTTGCAACCCCCCAGCATGTGTGCTGAGCATGGCACACAAGGCCATTTTGCTCAGCATGCCACCACCAGCCCAAGCTCTAGGCAGCTGCTGCCATCCATGTTTGCAGTCTGCCCACTGCCTGCTGCACCTCCCCAGAGCCCAGGCTAGCTACAAACAGCTGTGCTGGGCTCCGGAGCCCAGTCATCAGCTTTGTGCCAGCAGCGGGGAAGAGGCCAGGGTTGCATTGCCTCAGGCCCCTCCCCCACCAGCCTTTCCAAGGTGCACGTGCACCCGCCAGTATGGAGCTGATGCTGGAGCCTGGTGCAGCTGTTTGGACTGCAGCCCAAGCTCTGGGTAGTTGCTGCCAACCACAGAGGCTAGGCTGCTTGCAGCAGGGCTTGCAGCTGAGCCCATCTGACTGACTCCCACCTGCTCTGAGCCTAGCCCTGACCCAGCCCTCCACTGGGATGAGGCTGGCACTGCCCCTTGCCAGGAGTGCCTAACATTTGCAGGCTTAGCTGTGCATGGTGGGTTGGTAGTTGGGCTGATGGGCGGGCTCCAGCCCGGGGTCTCGGCCAGCCACGCTGCAGTCTGGGGACTGGCTCCCTGGGGAAGCAAAGGGGCTCCAGCAGGCCCAGGGCATTGTTGGGTCAGACTTTGTCCAGTGGCCCAGCAGCCCAGCACTGTGTGCCTGCGCATCTGGTTCTGCATGTTTGTCTGCCTCTGTCTGGGTCTGTGTGTGCACACATGCTCTGGATGTGTTCTGGTTCTTCGTGTTTGTGCACATGTGGTTTTGTGTATGTGTGTGTGTGTGGTTCTCTCGCTCCTCTTTTTTCTTTCTCTTTCTTCTCTTTCTCTTACTTTTCTTTTTTCTCTCTCTCTCTCATTGCAACATGCTTAACAAAAAAGGAATACACAACAACAAAGGCAACATTTATGATTATTAAATATACTAATATGCATTGCATCCTGCCATGTACCTCCCCCCACCCCCGATTTTGTTTTTCTGGCATGCTGACACTCCAGCACCTTCCAAAGTAGACATTGTGTTTTTTGGCACTCAGGCCAGAAACGGTTGCCTGTTCTAGACCATTGTAATTTACATGGGTATCCAGAGTAGAGTTGAATAGTTCTCTTTAAGTAGTTGCCTGCAATAGGCACTAAAAATTGTTTATATTGAGAAAATGGCTAACATGGGATTAAAATGACTAAAACTGTGAACATACAATCAGTGTACTTGTGTGCCTGGATCTAAGGCACATTATACCAGTACAAGTAGCATGTGTACACACTGAAGCAGCA